TGCCTGCGTTTAGCATTTCGGGCGATAAGGCCAGGACCAGCAGGACACACAGAGAGCGAGAGAAGAGCCTGCAGCTCCCGTAACAAATCTGAGGTTGCCAACCTTAACAGAGCGCATGGGAGCCTGGGGGGTGGGAGCGCGGGCGCTGTGGCTGGCCATGTGTGCGGGCGAATGTGTTTTGCGCCTGGAGCGGGGGTCAGCGGGCATAAATCAAACCGAAAATTACGCACGCATTCATCTGCTGAGCTGGCAAAAGAAGAAAGAAATATCTGCCACATTGCCCTACAAACGGTGGAAGCGGCGGCGGGGCTGGGGGCGTGGCAGGCGCTACAAATGGGGGTTGGCAAATGGCGGAAAATATGGGTAACTGTGCAAAATTTAATGGCGTACGAAAATCAATAAAAGGACGTCGTTAACAGCGGCATCTTCAGGTAGAGATACCTTCCCATGCATTGCCATTATTATATTTATATTAGACTACTTTCTCTTCCTCTTGCCTTTAAATTTCTGTGCTTCTGCATAATTTTATTGCAGGTCGTTTGTTAATGCTAAATGGCGACTTGTTTATACGCGCGACTCCATTGAAATTCAGCGCCGTTTGTCAAACTGCAAAAGGTTCAAGTCGAATCGCCGAATTGGCGAATTATAAATGCAAAATATTGCTGTCATCGAGCCAATGCTGAACAGTTAATTCCAACTGGCTACTAGTGATATGAAACTTGTGAAAAAATCATAATCAAAACTGCATAAATAATAATTATTGATCTAGCTCAAACTTTGACCTTCAAAAAGTGTTTGGTTTGCTTTTGCAGTTTGCTTTCGTCTCTTTAGATAAATCTAGTTTTTTTTTTTTGGCATTTCATATACTATCAGCTCAAGCATCTCAAAGGTAAAGGTTCTTCCTTCAGTTCTGTGGGCTAAGCAAATATTATATATATATATATATATATATATATATATATATATATATATATATATATATATATATATATACTTATGTAAATCATGTATTTATATATTTTATATTTTATAATTTAAAGAATATGCCAAGTTAAGTATAAGCTATGCTTTAGCGTAGAATTAGTCTTTGAAATTATTGCAAAATATCATTAAATATGCAAATGCAAAAATTACAAAACAATTTGAGAGAAATTGCCATGAGTTTGACAAAAAACCAGTCGAGGCGTTAAATACTCTATTCCTAAGCAAAGATTTGATTTTTTCTTTATGTGAGTTTTTTATTTTAAATTGATTTAGTATCTTCAGCTTAAAAGTTTTTGCCTTAAGTGTTGTTTAATATTTTAAATAATTGCTTTATACAACTCAGAGCAGATATAGTAAAATTTATATATAGGTTCTGTGAACTCGTTTAGATTGTCTTTCATGGGAAGCACTTGGCACTTACTGCAGCCGCCATAAACTGGCCGCCAATTAACTAATTTGCAAAAGCTTCTCCGAGGGGCAATTAAAAGTACGTGGCGCATGGTGCCAGCGACATGTGTGTTGGATAGAGATACAGAGACACACACAAATACACAATTGTAGTTAATTAACTAGGAACTGCAGCCAGTTGCTGCTTTACCTGCAAATGTCAAATGCCAAATGTCAGACGAACTGATAATTTTCTAAATAGTTGGCTGACAGATAAAACTTTACAATGTACCGGAAATCGTTCTAATGGAACTTTAGAATCGGGCGTCCAAATTGAGAACCAATAACATTGATCTCGAGCGACACTGACTGCTTAATACTCGTTCAGCTGACCATTTAATATATATGTATCTGAGGCGAAGGTCTAAGCTAATTCAACTGAGCAGCTTGAAGCTTGTTGCTTTGAAACTCTGAGCGATATATTTTCCTGTCCATTTGGGAGTATAATTCTTGATTGGTTGGTTGAGGAAACGAACCAAGTAGAGGAGTTTAGATGTGCTATATGTTGTATATGTCAAGTCTCTTATGAGCATAGATATCGTCTCTACACTTTCAGTCTCTACCTCTAAGCTCCTCGAAAAGTATAGATCATAGAGCTAATATGTTGATTTCTCAAGTCTCCTATGAGCGTAGGTCTATCGTCTTCACACTTTCAGACTCTACCTCCACCTAGCATTGGTAATAATTGAGTTTCTGATATAAATAGAAATTAAATTTAAGGAAAACTCTTATGGTTCTCATGGCATGCACTCAATGTGCTCTTATTCGCCTTACGAACGAGTATGAAAACTAAAAATTACCTCAAAATTAGGAAAGAAAAACGAAATATTTGGCACACGCTCAGCCAGTTGCCCACTTCAAAGCTATGGGCGGGTCGATGTTGCAGAGGGGCTGGGAGGATGCGTGAGTCCAATTGCTTCGTTTCATGTTTTGCGCAAAGTGGCGCCAAAGTTTATCAACAATTCAACAAATTTAGATAGTTTATTGCACATTATTATGCTCCTATTGTGAATTGCGTGCCAGTTGGAGCCCCTCGGGCAGCCGTCGACCGTCGACCCGGCGTCCCATCGATACAAGACATTTGCTCCATCTTTATAAATAGATGCTTTGTTATAATTGTGAACGCGAGTGGCGAGTGCCCGACATATGGCCACGAGACCACAAACTCGAGCACGTGATAATATTCCGAATTTGTTGAGTCTGGATAAGTTTCTGGAGCACTATAAATAGATCGGTCAGCTGATTGTATGTTCCGATTACAAGGAAACTTGTAAACAAGCGTGTTACAGGCTAGTGTAATAATTATATATAATTTCTAGCTTAAGTATAGACCGTTATAAGTGCATTAGATTGCGGTAAATAACATTGTGATCGATTTCCTCTAATGGCTAGAAACGACTTTGAGAACGTTAAATAAATCGCGAGATTATGTTTACATATATATATCTTTATATAGATCTTGTGGTAAGTATTATATACAGATATTTGAATATATTTAATCTATGTTTTATTTACATATATAATGTGTATAAGAAAAAACAACAGATATTTATTTACACTATTTTTGTTTGAATTAAATATTTACAAGATATTATGCCTATATATGGAGCTGCATGCATATTGATATAAAAGTTATACAATTGTATGGGGGTTCCAAATTCCTATCTCTGAGAGCAACCAACTGTAAATCGAAACATTAGCCAGACACAAAATCATTTTAATCAATTTAAGCTCGATGTCAACCCCCAGCTGAAGTTCTATGACAAGTTTCTTGGGCTATAGGGGGAGGAAAACCACATTTATATACAAATATATAAACATATACATATATATATATATATATATATATATATATATTACAGCTGTAAGTATATTTCTATGGGCTCTTTATTAATTTTCTAATGGATTTTACGTTTCTGCGTTTGAAGATTTCAACAATTCAGATAAATATTTATGCGCAGCGTCTCGGCTGTGAGGGGGGCGCAGATACATCTAAAGATGCGGATGCGGATACGGATGCTGACTTGCTGACTTGCTGACTTGTCTGCGACAGTCTTTTGGGTCCCTTTTTTATGGACACACACACAGCCATACACATGAGCATTGATTACGATTGGCAAGTGGCATTTAGTGAGCAAAGTTTGTTTATGTTTTTTCTCTTTACTGGCTGTGCGTGTGTGTGTGTTGGTAATTTATGCGCCTGTATAAATTGCCAATAAACAAACCACATTTGGAAAAGCGGAAAGCTGCAAAGGTTGCACATTTGAGCCCTGTCGCTGACAGCCAAAACACTTGAGGCCTGGTTAACACAACTAAAAACACACACAAAATTAACAACAATTAACAATTGGAATCGTTTGTGTTGAGAGTTGTTAACTCAATTGCGTTTAATTGGCTGCTGCCTGGCCTAAACGATGTGTGTCTGTATGTGAGATTGCATGCGAGGGAAGTTTGGTCGGTTGCCGGCTGCGTGCCCCAAAGCGGTTTACGATAAAGTGCAGCATGCTGAAAAATTGCTAACAAAATGATACGCTTTGTAAATGGTGCTCTCTCTCGCTCTCTCTCTCTCTCTCTCTGGGTTGCGGCTGCAATTTTCGCACCCGCTTTTCTTTGCGTGCCAAGTGATACTTTTTCCACACACATACAAAAAATGAAAGGAAAATCAAATCAAGAAACGAGAAAATGCGCCCAGTCTGTGGGGCGGCTTTAATTGTGCAGCAAAGAAAACCTAAAGAGCAAGCAGCTGTGTGTGTGTGTGCAGGTGCGTGTGTGTGTATGTAAGTTGACAAACTGAATAATTGCCAATTATTTGGCAAGTTTTATGAGCTGATAATTTCACATATTATATATTGTTAAATTCATATCGCAAAACACCTATGAAGTCAATCTGCTTTCTCTCTCTCTCACTCACTCTCTCGCTCTCTCTCTTTGTTGGGGCATGCACATGCTAAAGTCTATATACAGTATATACAGTATATATTGAAATATATGTGTTTGTTGATAATTTTGGCAAATGCACACAACATTTACAATTTATTGGTATTTTGAGTATATTTTAGGGTTTACCTCTCTCGCTCTGTGGGACCTCCTTTGACTGACACACTGGACACACCAAATGAAGAGGATGCAATATGCGCAACAACAACAACAACAACAACATGAACAATAACAAAATTCAAGAAATCAAAAACAAAAAGAAGTCGAAGAAGCATTTTGATAGGTTTCAGATGAAAACAATTGCGGATCATGTGAATGGATTGGACAAAGGTTTTTCAGATTTTTCGAATTTTTCATATTTTTCATATTTTTGTGGGAATGGCTATCAAAAGTTCTGAGTTTTTCATTGGGTTTTGGGGATCTTTTTTTTTGTTTTGGGCACATCAAAATTCAAAAATTTCTGAGCGCAGCAACTGATACAAAAATGTATAAAACAAACAAAAAATTGCTTTAAATTGTCAAATGAAAAATATTCAAAATATATTTGTAAGACAAAAAGAAAACAAAAATTGTAAAAAATATATTCGTAAACTATAAGCTTAAGAAATGAATATAAATAACATTGCACTTACCTAGCCAGTCTGGTAGAAGAGAGCCCGCAAGAGATTCTGAGTATCTCTTACCTGAAAAGCAATAGAAAAATGTTTTGTTTAGTTGGGAGTGTTTTTACGGCCAAATGCCTAACTTGGGTGTTAGTATTAATATTAACAAAGAAAAAGAATTAAAATAAATAATTATTGTTATAAAGCATCAAAATTAGTCCTTTATAAATATATTTATAATTTTATATAATTTAACATAATTTAATAATTAGTAAGAAAGTTAAGTAATCATAAATAAATGTTAATTTTAATATAACAAAATAAAATTATTTAAATTTTAGTATAAATCAAATTAAATTGAAATATATAAATTGAAAAAAGTATTTTTAATATTTGGTAAAATTTGTAAAAATTAATTGCGATTTAAATATTGCATAAATTAAAAAATATATAATATGATAAAATATTATGTATACAGTATTTTCTGCAAATAACTGTCTGTAGGATTATCAAAGAAATTTATATTTGAGTAAAAAATATTCAGTGGTTGACAATAAAATAATTAAGAAAATTAAAAAATGTAGTCTGTTTAGGCTTATCATTTATGTAATTTAAGTTATGTTTGAAAATTTCCACAATTGTTTAAGGAAATAAAAAGTTGCCTTTCAACATTCAAATGGCTAAACTAAATTTGGTATATTTCCATCTGCATTTTCCACTAGATATAGCTGAAGGATGGGTGTGGGGCACTATAAAAGACACATGACTGCCAGAAGAGCGGCAGGGTTTTCATAAATTTTAGCCAGCTTCGCGGCATTCTGTATTTGGTCTATATGCATGTAAATAAGCTCGGATAAATCATAATTTCAAGCTTAGCGAGCAGCCAGCAAGGTGCAGGCCAGGCGCAAGCTGCCTCGCTCCTAATGCTAATCTAATAACTTTAGCCGTCTACAATTTATTTGTCCTAACAGCAGCGCACAAAATTATGCACATAGCACGCAGCCGGCAAAGACTCAGAGCCAGCTCCCCAGCTCCATCTCCAGGTAATCCAGGTACTAGTCGCCATTATGTGCCAAGGAGCTGGCAGTAAGACATTGAAGCGCGTCAGGTGCGCGCATTAAAAGTGCTTCCTTCCCTCTTCGCTCTCTCTACTAAATTTCTGCCAAAGTTTTAAATAATCGAAAACGACTCGACGCACTTGGCGAAAAGTTGAAACATGCAAAATTTGCATAAATAACAACTAAATGCAACTTGACGCTCAAAATGGCGCCAAATGATGAATTGCGACGGGCCGGAGTAGAGCAGGAGAAGCCAAATACTTAATAAAGATATTCTCAAGTGTTTGCAAGTGCCAATAGAAGCTGGTTACTTACGGCAAATGCTGAATATGCTTGCTGCATAATTCATTTCTTACTACATTAATATATTTTTTTTATTATTTATAGTAAAGCACATTTTAAATTATTTTTTTTTATTTATTGTATAATTTTGATATTGCTTTACAACATTTAAATTTGAGTTGAAATTTAATTTCTTATACAAATTTTAGAGGCACTCAGACACATTTGAAATTTGATTGTAGATTAAATATTTTATGATTCGAAACTGATCTGAGAAATTCGTGTTTCTAGACAGTTAAGCAAACCAGATTCTAAAAATTGTTTTCTTTTAAATCATATAAATATCTGCATTTGTCTAATAAGATTTGACATCAGTTTTTAGTTAATTAAGTATATTTCGAATTCAATTCCATATTCCGTTCAGCTCACCCAGTTTGCGTTCTGTCTGGCCGTAGCAAAACACATTTTGATTTCTGATTTGTAATGCATTTTTTATGAACTCTCAAAGGCCGCATCCTGTGCCCGCCTTCTGCCTTCTGCCTTCTGTCATTTGGCAGCCCAGTCAACTAGCCCAGTTTCCGCGCTGGTGTCAAAAAGGGGCGTTACGCAGCTGTTGTTGTTGCTGTGGCTGGTTTGTTTATATATTTTTGTATTATTCTTGTTGAGTTCGTGTATTTTTTATGCACGTCTGCGCTTTTGTATGCAAATAAATCAGCGACGCCGCGTCACATGTCGCATTTCTAGCCGGTTGGGTAGGGCGGGCAGGGGCCAGTGGGCCAGTGGGCGTAGCCGGGTGGGGGCTCTGGCATTTGGCGGCTGTGCTGGCCGCATTGCGCAAAATCATATCTCACACTATTTGTCAGAGCAGAGATACTTTTATTTTGAAATAAATTGCAAACTCTTTTGCCAGTTTGTTTGGCTCAACTGCATTTCCATATTCGAGTCGCATGCCAGGCGATATTTTATAATGAAAATCCTCGCTTGACATACGTGTGTGTGTGTGTAAACTGCAGTACACATACAATTTTCACATTTGACTAAATTTATCGCACAGTATTCGGGATTTGCGCCAATGAAAGAGCAGCCAATAAATAAATTAAATTAATGGCAGCTGCCGTTGATTTTTTGTTGTTTTTCTGTTGCATCCCTTTTAGCCACAAGCCCCGGCCAGTCAAGGGTTAAATGTCTATGCGACTGTTTATATCATTAGCTAAATCTACACAGCTCCTTCCATCGGACATTGGCTATTAGCTAACAATACTGGCTCGCCTTGCTCTCCGCCCAACAGTCCCCTGCGCTGCCAAGCGTGAGAGAGTAAAGTCCCTTTGCTGGATTTATTATTTTTACAAGATAAATGCAACATTTTACATTGGAATTTACGGGCGTGTGGCAAAAAACAACAACAACAGCAACAATAGCAACAACAGCGACTACAATGACAAAGTCAAATGTCGCTGCACAGTGACTTGCATATGCCGATAATGGTATGAAAAATGTGCTCATTAGCAAGAGCTGAAAAGTGAGTAAAGTAGAAAAACTCTTAAAGCAGATATTATTAAAACACCTGCTATAAATTTGTATAATATACATGGCTATTTCATAGAAGATTTTTCTTTTAAATTAATTAAAATATTTCAATTGACTTTCTATAATTTTTTAGAATTTATAGAAAGGCTTCAGAGAAGTTATATAAAATAAAGATCAGCTTTTAATTATGATGAAATTATGTTCATTTTTCTAGATGTTTATTTTGTTGTAAATATTATGCATAGTTATTACATTTTCTATGATGTTGTCTATAATTAATGAATTTATTCTTTTATTTTAAATTTTTATTTTTGGAGCTAGACTAATTTGAGTGTACGATAAAAGATAAGCTTTAATTAATTTCCCTAATTAACTCAAGTTCACAATGATTGCATTTCATAATTAACTAAATTTTCCATATTTTGTACCAGTGTGCAACTAGTATAAATTTCATGTGGCGGCAGCAGCAATACCCAGCGACCATTTGGCCATTTGGCCATTTTCGATAAAGCACATTTAAACAAATGAAAATCCTTTAAACAAGGATAACAGCAAGCGGCCAGCCGGTGCGTTCAGACAGCAACAGGATCACACAGTGTGTGTGAGTGTGTGTGTGGAGCATGCGAGAGACCTGCACAATGTAACCCCACAAATTCGACTCGCTGCGGCCCACCCTTGGACTCACTTGAGTGTGTAATTGTGTATTTATTTGCGTTATTTGACAAAATATCAACAAGCACAATCAATCCTCGGCAGTTGCCAGGAGGCAGTCGCCAGTCGCCGGTCGCCAGTCGCAAGTTGGCAGTTGGCAGTAGGAAATCGGGTGTCGGGAGTCGTGAGTTCTTCGACCCCCCACTCGCAACTCCATTGGCAATTGCGAATGCTGCCATATGTCTGCCATGGTAGCCGGCAGAGAAATCCATTTAAATTAAAGCTGAGCTGCATTCGAAAAGGCATAAATATCGAGTGGAGTGAAGAAGGGACGCCAGGCGGGGGTCAAAGAGTTGCTATTGTGACTCTGACTGTGACTCTGACTGTGTGTTCTTGCCTTTGCTAACTTTCAATTTGAGCTGAATTCAAATTTAGCCCCGGCAACAGCCCAGGCCAAAGGCAATAAACTCTCAGACTGTTTTTTATTTTTCTATTTTCTATTTTGTGTTTTTTTTTGTTATACAGTTGAACTTTGGCTCAATTCTCGCACAAATTTAGAGACTGCAGAGTGCAGGCCCCGGACTCGCAATTGTATCTTATGCAAATTTACGTAAATTAAACAAAATCTTTGGAAAACAGAAAAATAAGTATTTGCTATTTATGTATATGCAAAACTTGTGTATCGAAACTTAAGTTATTAAGCAGCGGCTGTTCCCAAAGATTCTCGACTTTGGTTCAGGTAGCTTTGCCCAGTGCCCAGTGCCCAGCCCAGTGAAAAATAACATTTTATGCAAATTATTCGAATAAACTAGATTTTGTATAACGTTGTAACTTTTAGTTTTAGTTTCAGGCCTCATATTTATTTAAAATTCTTAAATTTATTTATATATTCAAATACAAGACGAGCGCTGTCATTTTTGGCCTTCTCATTGACGCTCTTCAAGACAGAGATGATTTAACTTTTTTTCGTTTCAATCAAGGTGTAAATATCTTTTAAGAATCGTATAATCTAATTTCGAATCACGTATTTCATAAATGTGTTCGCCTGAGCAGTACTGTTCCATGTGCAAATTTCCTACTGGGTTGTCAGGACCACACAAAGATAGACTGCACACATAGACTCATATGTGCTCGCCAATATGGCTGTGTATGTGTGAGTGTGTGTGTGTGTGCAATGCGGCAAAGACTTATGGTTTCAGTGCCGGAATTAGAAGCTTTCTGCTTGCATTTGCACCGAGCTGCACTTGTTGTTGTTGTTGTTGTTGTTGTTGTTGTCGTTGGAACATTTGTCGTCCTTGTTGCTGCTGCTGCTGCTGTTGTTGCCTGCTGCACCTCCCGCCCGCCCACGTCTGCCAAATATATTGCAAATAATTCTCAATATATCGTAAAATGTCTGTTGCTAGTACAGTAAATATGCAAAGCTCGTTTAGCGGTGCAAATAAAGGGTTAGTTAGGTCGCCAAGGGGTAGATGCGGCAGAGGGGTTGAGGTAAGTGCTATTTCCGAGGGGCAGAGTGTTGTGCTGCTTGCTGTGACTCTTGGTCACTGCGGCTGCGAGGACTCT